ATATATATATATATATATTTAGTCCTCAGGTTTATGATTCAGTAAAGAAGGGTTGATTATTGGAGTTCATCATCAAATGATGACGAAATTTCGTCTGAGCCTTTTAATCTATTTTCGAATTCGCTCTTAAAGTCCATTTTTTCTTCTTTAAAAAAAATACGCGAAATTTTAATTTTAATACTCTGCTCCTTTAAATTTCTAAATAAGCGATGATATTTGTTCTTGCTCACTTATTCCTTACTCCTCCATACTTCAATTGAATGCAGTCTTGTTAATTTTCATTTGTTCTGCTTCACACGTAGTAAATTACTTCTCACTTCCTACTTGATGTTGAACAAGGATCTCTTTTATTTTTTCAAATATTTAACTGATTAAAGTATCATTTCTATTAGCTTTTGCTTCTTGAAGTTTGGTTATGTTTTCAATGATAGTCCAAAATGATAGTCTCGTATATCTGGTGTTATTACTGATATTTTTGCTTTCTAATGCTCATGTCTAAGCCTCGCCACCATGTACAGTTTGAAGAGAGAAATGAAATAGCATCAGGAAAAGATTATTTAGTTTTTTTATAGCTATCATAAATTTTATAGTCTGTAAAACATCAATAGGTAGGATGAAAAGTAATTTAGTGCACTAGTACATCTCTTCAAATGCTTCATTTTATCTTGAATCGCCTATAGGTTTCATCATTGAGCAGGCTTCCTAAATATATTCTTCTTGGCCGAAATATAAGTTTATTTAAGCGTTGGTCACGCTATAGCTAAATTATTGAAAATAATTATATATTTAATTGGTATTTCCAATTAATTCACGATGCGAAACATGTGTGCTAGTTTGTAAAGAGACCATTTTTCAACTCCTCGGCAGTACAGACTGCCGCGTCCCATCGACCAAATTATTATTTATTACGATATTTGACTTCAAATCAGAGTTAGCCGTTTTAAGTGACTCCTCAGTTTACTAACTTTTCTTTTTAACTTGTGGTACAACAAAAGCTTATTCTTAATTTACTTTAGAATCAGCGTCAAATTTGAGTTAAAAATAGTGTTGAGAATTTTCTTTCAAAAAATTGTCTCCGATATTTTGCTAATCATATCTAGAGCTGAAGATAAAAAAGATGATGCTAACTAGCATGTTTCTGTGAACCTCATAGATCAGTCACTAATTCTCATTCTCATAAAAGAGTTATTTAGTCTCTTTTTGAGACTAAATAATTTGTTGAAGAGTGGGATAATTAAAAGGTATGAATGGAGTCACCTGAATTCACTGAATTATTAAACTTTTAATGAGTTAGATTGAACAGTTTTAAGTGTTACTTCGTTACATGCTCATGATAAGTTTGCATGAGAGGAAGATTTATGATGGTTAATGACTGGAAATGAGAAATTTCATATTATTGTTCATTTTGATTAGTTTTTATTATTTTTCCAAAGACCAGCTTCTTTTGGCTTCCGAAATACTTAATAGTATTATTAATTTCAAGTATTCCATTTCCGACCTCTGTCATTGCTGTTTCATATTCTTACGACAATATAGCATTTCACAGAGTATTTTGCAAAGAGTGGAAATATAGTTCAGCACGGCTGGTTGTGATTTTTTGATGCAAAAATTATTAAGAATTAGTAAGATACGCAGCTTCGCTTTGATTTATTCAGTTTCCGGGACAAGAGAGTAGATCATTAATATTGTTCTTGTTTTATTGGTTTTATTTGGGGTTTTTAACTGAGAAGCATCTAAAAACTTCCTCTAAAGGCGCTTGTCATCCGTAGACTATTATATAATTGCATCTAACTAACAGACAAAATTTTAATATGTTAAGTGTTGAAAAATAAAACATTAGCATTCATTTTTGCCGTCATTACTTTGTCATCAAATGTTTTGTAAAATCTTAGAACGCTTCTTAGTAGTATGAGCGAATTACTGAATAACTCCAGGATTAGTGAATGAAAATAGTGCTTGAATCTTGATTTTTTTTGCTAGAAGAAGGAAGTGATTGGACACAGTTCAACATCTTTCAAGTTACTGCCAAGTATCTTTGCCCCTTATTCTTTGAAATTCAAAATTAAAATTTAAAGAACGCGACTAATTTAGATATTTTTTTATTTCATAATTTCAATAGTGGTAGTCGAAGCGGAAGCACTCCTACGATGTCAAATTACGGCAGTGCAGGATATTTAAATAGAAGTCGTGATTATCTTTTCTCGCAGGGTAGCCCAGAAAATAATTATCGGTCATGTGACAGGCATCCAGTACGTTTGCATTCATTGATTAGAATTCTCTTTATTAGTTAAGTTGGTTTGAGGTGATTTGTCACTGTGATAAACAAGATGAATTCCTACAAATTAAATACCAAAATGATGTGAGGTTTGTTCATTTAGTAATGTGTGTTTAATTTCTTTTTTGAAACGAACTACTAGAAAGTTGAGATTAATATTGTTACTTGCACAGGATGACTATAACCGATATGAAACGGCGCGTTCTCGGAGTCGTACTTTACAACGGCATCGATATGAAGATGAAAGAAGTCGATTTTCAGGATATGGTGATAGACCTGGTTCTGGTGTAGAATTGATGCCTACGAAATGGCATGGTGGCGAGGTAATTACTCAATGCTGTTTTGAATTTTTTATTTCTTATTTCTCTGATCTCAAGATTGCTTTTGATGCAACTTTTCTCCAAAATTTGTTGTTTCTAAGCTCACAATGAAAAAACTTACCAAATAATGCTTAGATTATAACCGATCCGATACGTTTGCCTCGTTCGCTAAAACCCCGTCGTTTATATTATTCACCAATTGGTGATGGTGTTGTTGCTGCGGATGGTGTGGAATTGAAGCGCAACCCAGAAGATTCCTCTCCGAGAATTTCAGTAACTCACACAAGGACCGTGGATAGAGGTGAACTTGGCAAAGATGGTTACAACCTTTATGCTCGGACAGCAGGTATTGTTGGCAGAGAATTTCTATTTTGAGTGCACTACAAATCTGAACACGAAAAGTTCATAAATTATAAAAAAATTTATTGAGATGACTGCAAACTGTCACAAGCTTTTATAGACTTTGCAAATATTGTTCATTGCTTATATTTGCTCTCACCATATAATAGGTGATTTTGACTGTTCTACATTAGTATTAGTCTTTCAAACAAAGCTAAAGTGAAAAATGATGAAATAAAAGTTGCATTTAGAAAGTGACTACGGGAGTGATATTGGTGCGAGTGGACGTAATTCACGATTAACGGGTGGCTTTTCTCCAGGTTTTCATCTTCATTCACTACAATATTGTCATAATGCCATAAAAGCTACAGTCTAATATTTGTATTGTGGAGAATTAAACTTCTGAAATAAAAGTTCATGATTTTTTTGGGAACACATTCACTGACATAAACTGTGATAAAGGTTCATCAGTAAATTGAGAAATATTATCTTTAGCTAAATTTAAATGTATTAAGAACTAAAACACACTGATTCAAAATTTTAGGAATTGAAATTGCATTTTAGGCAACGATTCGTTTGCACAAAGTGGTTTGAGTCCTGGAATGAGTTATGGTGGACGTGGATCATGTTATATGGGAATAGAAAGTAAAGAAGGATATGATGATATGGAAGGACAAAGGAGTACCGGGGAGAGAGCTGATGGTGCTACAGCTGGTACGCCAAATATAATGCGGAGAAATTATAACGGGAACGATAACTCATCGAAAGACTATTATCAGGGATTGACTGATGCAAGCGATACCTCCAATCGAGTTAAACAATACGATGGTACATTGGAAATTGATTTACGATTCGATGAATTTTGTGAATTATATACACTGTTTTTTGAGTATTTCTCTTTTACACTTTTAACTTTGGAATATTCTGTTAAATTTGTGAGATAACTGAGTGTAGTTAGAGCATCACAGACACAGTAATGCAGGAAAGCACAGTACCGTGTCACCTGAGCAAAATGCAGATAGACATGTTATCGGGATACGCAGAGCAAATGGAAATTCATTACACGTAAATGATGGCTATGTTGAAAAATCATGTGTCACGGACCATGGCAATCACAAGTTTCCGGATAACTCACCTACAGCTTGTCACGACCTGCACTACACAAAATCTGATTCACGTGAGTCTTACTGTGCAGGTTTGTATTTGCAGATTGTAGGACTGTACATGGATTTGGAACGTAATCGAAGCAGTTTATAAAAATCTGGAATGGTCGGAAATCACTTATTTTTTTAAAAATTATTTGGAAATATCTTTCGTCTTAGTTTATTCAGATACCGATACAAAAGTAAAGGTCTCTTATCATTGATTTTCGGCATCATTTTTCTATTTCAGGAAAATAAAAAAAAATTTAGATTTAACAAAAAAGTATCTTACCTGTGACTTGGAGTCGCATGTGAAAACTTTTCTATGTTATAAATAAATTCGATCTGCTAGATCTTTATGTTCCTGAATTTGACGTGCAAAATTTTGGATATGTCATTCCTTTTGGCAAGAGTAGATTGCCTTTTCCGTTTTTCAACAGTTTCATCAAGTTTCAATCGACTCACGATCTCAGAACAACATACTGCATTAAAAGTGTTATTTTTTCTCTATTCTTCGTTACTTTAAGCTCGTGCTAACAGTGCTGATCTGATACATGAATTCGATGGTTATGATGATAACAGATTTAGAAACGATGGTAGGTCAATCTCGTTTTTTATGTTTTTTCCATAAAAGTAGTTTTTTAAAGATGAAGAGGGAATAATTGTAAATCCTTGCTTTTTTGTCAGTATTTCTCTGACCTCTGGAATTAAAAACTTTTAATGTAGTAAATGGTCACTAAAATAATGATTAATGGATATAAGATTAAAGCTGGCACTGGACTGCACATCTCAAACAACTCAGAACAACCGCAGAAGTTCGAAATGTCTAAGGACTATTTGATAACGAATCCACGAGAACTCATCCATCAGTATGCAACTATGACTCCTGTTTCAGTTCTTGAAATACCTGAAACATCACGAACGGTCAAGAAAATGTATTCATCAACAATCGAAGAAAAGTAACCTTAATTTACGACAACATACATCAAGACACTAAACATGAGAAATATGCCATTATATACGCTAGAAGTGTTTAAATAATTTTCTCCTCGACATTCAGATATATTACGAAAGCTAGGATTGATCAGAAATTGAAATTTTTGTTTTTTCCCTTTTTTTTGATGATAAATACAATTTCTTTGTAAAAGAGAATCAGGGTACTTTATTTTTAGATTTATACCTTATCCACCTTACAAAAGTTCAGAAACTGCTATCCACCCTCAAAATTTTGTTCGCCAATTGAGAGATGAAGGTAAAACTTGGATGTTTTGAGTAGTTATTTAATTCACAAGTGTTTCTGACATTATATATAAATCTTTTCTGGTTGATCTTCCTTTCTTCCTTATTAACTATGGCGCTGGATCGTATTCCGGCACTCTGGCTGTATTCTTCCCGCGCTTTGTTTTGTTGTATTGATCTCCGGTACTTGATCCTTGTGGAGCCTACGGCAGTGATCGAATTCGAACTATCAATTGGATATATGCCTCGACGTGATCAGATATATTGACTTCATTCACGTAGCATTTATGGGTAGTTCGTCATTATGTCATCACATAAGGAATTATCTTCATTCTACATTTCATCTCTGCCCTGAGTTTATAAGCGAATTTGATCGTATTTTGCTTTTTCTTGGTTTCATCTATCAACCTGCCTATACTGGTGATGCCAACCCCTACTAGAATTACTTCATGTCGTCTTTTATCATGGACCATGATATCTGGTCATTCCGCACTTATGTTTATAAATGCACTTGTGTGTTGACTCTATTCTTCATATTCCTATTTGCGACGATCTTCTAAACGGAATGGATTCCTTCTCATGTGTGAGAATGTTCCCTACTACATTGTCTTGCAGAGCGCCAAATAGATACATAGCGCCTCATAATGTCTTCTAGTATAGTGATGATGCAGCATTTTCTCGTATCGGCAGATGGTCTACCCATTTTCGCACGTTCTTTAAATTTTTTTCATCTCCAAACATTTCTATTCTAGAAGTGGCAGTATCATTCCTCGTCCTTTGTTTCCGTGTCCTTGTGGTATTAGTAAATTTTACATGAAGGCTAGCTCATTATTCTACATCTTGTCTAGCTTTGTATCATGAGTTTTTTTTCATTTCGCAATACAGGAGAGCTCTAGGTTGCTGATAGGTTTTTGCCGAGTAGATCGTCTACAAAGTTGTATCTGGTCTTATAGGGATATATGTTACGAATAGATCAAAACAATAGTTCATAAACCGCATGTTCTGCAGGGTTGACCGCTTCGCAAAAAGAAGCTAACAGGCACAGAAAACCTCTTGTATCCAATGATCCACAAACAATGCAAAAAATTTGGGGAATTCGCGATGAAACAAACCGAACTATATCATCAAATAAAGAAATTGACTATTTGACCGAAAGAATGGTGCATAGTTTACAAACCGGTCGTACAACTCCTCACTTCTAATTTTTCTGAAGAAGGCTGATACGTTTAATCGTTGATTCTATAATCAACGAAATCCCGACATACCACATTAGAATGTTATCAGTTCTATAACAGATAAAGATGCTATCAACAAAATTATGATTTTGTGCATTGAAACCCTTTATGTTCTACGTTTATACACCTTTTCTTAACTTTTAAAAATTTAGTAAAACTTGATTATGTGGTTTCTTTTTTTACTTTTTTCCTTTCGAAGAGTGGTTTCATCGATATTTAAATTCTGTGGATAGAGTCTTGTTCTTGTCTTTTTTCTGTAAATCATTGAATCATTTAAAGTACTCTGTTAATGAAGTGCATGATTGTGATTCTTAGCACAGTTTCTTCTGTAATTTTACTTAATTGTTCAGAAAATTAATAAACAAATATAGTTGACTGTATCTTATAACTTTTTCAAACAATACGAGTTTGCAAGTCAATTAAGTCGAATAATAATGCTTTAAACATCAACATCTTTTGAAAGAACAAAAACTTTTTTGAAGTTGTGTTATCTGGTATCAAAACAACTTAAGGTAAAATTAATATTTAAGATTTTCGCACATTAAGTAATTTAAGTTTCAACAGACTCACGGTCTCAGAAAAACATCTAAAATAGGTACATTTCCGGGATGTTTCTCCTTAGAATGACTTTGGCGAATTGTGGTAAACACAGTTTTATAATTTCTACGTTAACGAATATTTCTAGTAAGTCATGCTAATAGTTATCATTTTCGGTGAGTAGTTGAGATTTTGATCGAAAGGTTACCAACATTATGAAGATATCTAACCGCATATTTTCCTTTGTCATTGCCAGACAGCGCGTCTTCAACTCCAAACAAGATTATTGCATGAGAAAATCCATTGGAATATTCAGAGTCAGTCGAATAAGTCCGCATTTTTCTCAGAGTTTGGAAGGCCAGTAGGGAATATATTGTCCACCCACGTGCCCAACAAACCCAGGAAAGCATTGCCGGGCTTTTAAATAGCAAGTGAAAAAAAAATTGATGGATTGTGATTTGAAAAGTCAAACCAGATGATCTCTCTTCAGCTCGATTTAGATGGATGCAAATCATGATTAAATTCGGAGGTCATGCGGTAAATAACCAATTTTCACTTCGCACAAAATAGGAGGTGCAGAGATGGTTCAATGATATATCTTCAAATAATACTAATTGGCTATGAAAAGTGGAAAATAAATCAAGATTGCCATAGAAAGTATCCAAAAGTGCTATCATCTTGAATTGAAATATTGAAGGTGAATTTCTTTACAAAGTTTCCTGCATTGACATATTATCATTACGTACTTATTTTGCAATTAGATAGAGATCAAAATGTTATCCACGAAATGGAGAATAGTTAGAAAGACTGAGGAAAGCTGAAAATTTCTGATTACAGATGATAAATTAGAGAAAATTATTGAGGAAGCAAACTTTGCGAAGGTACTTTTTCCAGTAACAACAAATTTTCTTGCTAGCGAGAACTGCTTTTGTATCGTTTGTTTGTAAGAGATGGAGAAGGAAAGCAGTTTTTAAAGTTAAATAATATCATTCTCACCGTCTTATCAAGTTGCTAAAAGGAAGCTTGTGGCTTGATTCAAATACTTGCATCTGAATCAGTCCATTTCCATTGTCCTTGCCTTGTGATGCATCTAGTTTGCTGCGCCATACGTAACGCCGAATGTATTCAAGCTGTTTAGACTCCTTTGTATGCTTCCAGGAAAATCATAACTCATAACAGCAAAAGTGCTGTTGTACCACCTTTCCATCAAATGTGTTTCCAACATACATGCCCTTTCTCCAATCTTTTTGTTTTCATTTTGAAAGCAAATTTTCGTTACATCGCACATCAAACTTTGCTTTCGTTATCTATTCAAATATTTAAATATCAGCAAGCTCACTGCACGAAGCATACATAATTATATCTGTTCTGGTATAATAGATGCATTCAAATTATCAAATTTAACGAGAAAGAACGACTATTCATTCTGTTCAATCATTCTTCCAAATTAAAATCAAAATTTCGAGAACGTACAAAAATTCATTTCTTAAAAGTATTTAGCTGTAAAAATTTGCATCAGTTAATATTTCAATCATGAGCAAGAAATTGAAATAAGCGAATTACCCACAATATACCCAATAAGAAGTATTTTTTCTCTTAGCATCAAAAGTTGTCAATGATTTTGATTAATAAAAAGTCACCATTCAAAGCATTAACAAAGGCAATTTGTATTTTAAAGTGGTTTCCTTTTTTTAACCAGCAATCAGCTTTATGCAGTAATTCAGTTTCGTGAACAATTACAATAAATTGGCATGAAGTTAATATATTTGTTTGTCATTGATTTCAAGCACTTTAAATTTGTAAATCAAACTGTTGAAGACTGAATGTTCTAAATTGTAGAAAAGCTATTTTCACAATCTCATGAATCCAATCACTATTTCAATTGTTAAAAGTATAAACTAGAATTCGACTTTATTTTTTTGCCTAATTTGCTATTAAATGAATGAAAAGCATTCGAAATTGTTGGCATTATTTTTTAAAACACTAAACGCATTTCACCTTCACGTGGAGCACGTAGAAAAATGTGGTTCGCCAATGGAAAGAAATGTAAATGACCAGCGATGCCCATCTCATTTTATGAAAGAACCTCGTACTAAATTTAATTTGACTAAGTCTTCTTTCAAATTTTTGAGCGTGATAGTCTTGTTATTCATGTTTGCGTTTTGAAGCTAAACAAATTATGATAATTTTCATATCTGTTTTATTAATGGCTATTTCAGCTCTCAAAAACTCATGCATTTTTCTTCTGAATTCATTCAAATATGATCATGATTAATCTACTTGCCAGCAAACACATGTATCGCATTTTTGCTTTGCTTATACTTAGAGGTTAAAAATATATCCTATGTGCTGCAATCATGATTTCTCATTATTTAGATGACTCTTCTTTTTGCTCTCTTATATACCAAATAGTTTCTTTAATTATTTCGTGATCTCTTTGTTTTTATCTGTACTATGCTTGAAATTTACTGGTATTTATCGTGCAAAAATATATAAGAGAGCAAAAATCGAATTCCTAAAAGTCGTTTAAATTTTAACTATTAAAGTTATGAGATGTTAAATGATCTTTTTTTTACTGAAAGTTATTTATCTTATAATTTAGCTTCAACCCATTTCATGCTTATAAGATAAATGACTTTCATTTTATGCTACTATTAGGCAATTGTGTGATAGAGGATTGAACCTATCTGCTTAAAATAGAGAATTTATATTACCAAAAAATCTAGTTTTCCTGCAGGGTACTAAATTCATTTAATTTATTTGATTTCAGAATCTAGTTTTAAGTCGTGAGATAAATTCATTTAAAAGTTTCCTTTTCATCAAAATCAAAGGTTTCCAAAAAATACTGGTCTTGAAATGCCATCAGTCACAATTATGTTTCTGAAACAATATAAAAATCAATACTGATTAGTTAACGGATTGAAATCAACTTCAAAGATTTGACCAGACATTCTTATGACACTTGACCATTTTATTGCATATTATTTGAATAAATGGATTGTTTTGAATCTCACTTTTTTACATTACACTATTTGCTAGCAGAATTAAAATATCTTTTCATTGTATTAGAAATGTAAAAAAGAATGCTTACAAATTTTAGTGCTTTTCTTTGCAATCGACAAGTTTTAAGTTCTACAAATATCAGTAATTCTGTGCTTAAAAATGTACATATCATTGTGAAATAATTGGAATGAAAAAACTGGACATACTGCTTCGAGCTGCGAGAAATCTCTTTAAACAAATTCTCATTCTGTTTTGAGATTTTGTGATTTGGATTGTAGATGGTGAAAAATGCGGAAAAAAAAAATTTCCGATTTCGAGTAGTTATTTTCCACACTTCGTTGCAACACGATTTTTCTTGTTACTACTTATTTGTCAGCGAAATTTTTGCAAATTAAGAGCGAATTTACTGGTAAGCGTAGAATTTGTATAAAAAGTTTTATACAAGAAATGCTTAGAAGTCTTTGATAAGTGTAACTAGTTCTTGATATATATTTCTTATACATTTATTTATACATTGAAATAAAAAACTTAAAGTTTCTCAGATCATTTTTGTTACATGACAGGCCAGCCAAATGTTGATTAGTGAGCATAACATGATTTTTAATTGATTTTGACAAAGTATCCAAAAGTCCAGTTTTTGAATTGCAAAAGTTCATGAAAACTAATTTAATTTTTATTAACAGTTAGCAAATTTGTTTGAGCGATAAAACACAGCATTTGCTCAGTGTTAGAAATTGTGAAAATAATAAAGTGTTGATTTAGGGCCATCCGAAGTGGAAGGGTACGTTTTAGTGGTAGAAAAATTTTTGGTCTTCAAAGCCTTCTGGTTTTTCGAACCTCGTATGTCTAGTAAAGATAAATTGATGCATTTTGAAATGAAGTTTTCATATTACTCAATAAGTCATTTGAGCTACAATCATGTTCATGAAGTATCAGGGTTTTCTCAACAAGTTACTTTTGTTATAGTGCCAAGCCTATAAACTCCGACTTTCTTTTTAAAGACAATTAGTGAAGAAAGCTTTGGCAAGATGTAATATTGCAGTTTTTGCGTACAATTAATTTTAATCTAAATAATCAAACAAAAGAGTCTTTGATTCTTTTCCTTTAGGCTTTCTATGTATCAATACAGTAAATTTCACATTGAATACCATTATTTTTGCTACTTAAAGAGTAGATTTACATCGCAAAACATCTAGTAGCTCAAAACATCTAGTAGCACAAAATATTTAGTCGGACAAAATATTCATGCGGTAATAGTTTCGAACAAAGAAAGAATTAAATTACGTAATTAAGGAAGGAACGTGATAGTCAAGAGGAATGTCCTCCTCATATCAAATGCTATTCATCCATTTCAGACTTTTAAAAAAATCACTCCAAATAATTAAGAATTTTTAACTTATACGGACCGAGAATCCGCCAAAATCTAGATGTATTTTTTTGAAATGCTTGATTATTTCATTTACAGGAATAACACAAATTTTGAAGTGAAAAAAGTGTTTGCTGTTAGGAACGGAAAAGTGGTAAAGCAGTCGTACAAATACTGTTTGCCAGCTGTACTCAGTTTAGCACTAGAGAACTCATTCTAGTGGAGTCGACCAAGTTGTAATCCGTAATTGAATAATATTTGGAATTTTTATAGTTGTTAGATAAAAAGTACAGAAGTATATGAGAGCGGTGCACGATTTCTTCAAAGTTAAAGGTCATCAATTCTTTACTCAAATTGATTTCGAGAAGCTTGAATGGAAAGACATCAACCCAAATTTTGTGCCACGTCTAAACGGTGAAATGGATTTATCTCAAATTGACCATGAATTCGCCTTGTAATTATTAAACCCAGGTATATCAATTTTTTTCTCTTCGAATGGCTCTTGCAAAAGTTTTAGTAATTCCTTATTTGTTTGTCAGATAAACAATCAGCTATAAATTATTAATTTTATTAATATACAGTAATATACAGATGTTTGAACTTACAGATTTCTTGACACCATAAAAGTACGTAGTACGCATCAAGATCTGGTGTTTGAAGCATTTAGCTTTGCTTCCCAAACCACAACTGAAAGATTCTTGCAGAATGGATGTTATGCCTTAAATGTAAAATGTGACTTATTAAATTGTCGTTGTATTTTTGCAAAAATGCAGTTTTTTCACAGGGAGCCCCTATATTTACGTCTCTCATTCTTAATTATATTTGTCTTATTTAAAACGATTTTTGCGTCAAAAAGTCAACAACTAGGTATCTCAGGCTAATAAATAGTAAATGTCGTCCTAAGAACAGAAAGAACTGCTTGCTATTTAAATTTCTGCAGTTACATTAACCTTTGATTTTCCTATATTCGTCATGTCATCTGACAGACAATTGTTTTTGTCCTATGAAAAATTTAAATTTGATCGAACAAAAAAGTACTAATTTTTTGAAGAAATTCCAAAATTCATTCCCCATGCAGAAATTTTTCTGCTGCTAAAAAATTTTAGAAGGCAATAGTTTGACGATATTTTTCATATAAAAAGTCGCTTTATTAATTTTACAATCCTAATAGGTTTCATGATAAATTTGGATGATGCAACTGCTCTTCGTTTTATGAATGAGGAAAGATTGGAGGCTTATCTTCCAAAAAAAAAGAATGCTTTAAAAGATTTTAAGAACTTTGTCTTGATGGTATTTTCTTTATTCATTCGTTATCATTTATAAAGAATGTAGAGTGGATATCTGATGACTATTTTATTTCAGTATTTTCTTTGTATTTATTTCTGACAGAGAGTAAGGATTCTTTTGAATCATTTGTGGTGCATATACTGCAAAAATCCTTTGTAAAAGGTATTGGATAAGTTGAATGGATTCATAACACCTTGAAAAATTGCTTAATGGTTATGTTTTTTCTTCTCTTCAACCTTATTTCCTATTATTTTCTTTGCATAATTGCTTTCCACCAATCTTATAAAGAATTTAAGGTTGGTGAATACTGATAAAATCAACACGAAAAAAGATTAAATTTTTTATTCATTTCTAAAAGAGATCAGTACAGAACAGTATTCAGTAGAGAAAAATTGATACGTGAATTAAAGTTCGTCACTCAGTAATTAGCAAATTAACTTTTTTCACTCATGAGCAAAATTTCTAGTAATTTCGGTTGACTTTATTTTTCTAATAATTATTACAAAAAGGTCATGGAGGAAGCTGTCAAGACAATTTTTTGCTTCAATTTACAACCGCAAATAATTCAAAAGCTCTCTTATTATATATTTTTGTGCTTAAAAACCACATTAAAGAAAGCTTATCGTGAACCATAATTAGAACAAAAAGATAGGCCATCTAAAGTTTGGATGCTAGATGATTCATCACTAAAGAATGAAATACTGTTCAAAAAGAATCCATCATCATTTGAAGCATTCTAAAAGCACAAATAACACTAATGCTTAGCAAAAATCTTTATGCGTTGATGGCAAACGTCTTATCACGAGGTTCTTGTTTTAAAAATTCACATGCATCCGAACTTTTAATTCTTCACTTCATGTATTCATTAAATTTTATTTCTTTATAATCAATCAGTCATTTTTTCATTGCATTCATTAACAGTATTTCAATTTCTATTAGTTTAACCTCAAAGTAATTTTTGATGATATAATAGCTGATTTTAGCATCGATTTCAACCTATGGTAAACATTGATTTATTTTCAGGAAGTAAAGAGGATCTTAATCATTATATGCACGCCTTCGCCTTCTACTCTTCCAAGAATTTTGGGAAATTTCATTATTTCGTCTTCAATTTGATTAATCTGTAGAATTATATCTTGTAATATATCATTTTTTTAAGGTTTTTACTTGGATTGAAGCAAATTAAACTGACAAGCAAGCTTACTGTGATAATTTATCTATAGATTTAAGTTGCTCATTAGATTCTTTCTTGAACAACATTAAAACAAATATCACAAGTTTGATGTATTCGAAAGCAACTTTAGAATGGCTAGTAATCTTCAGGTACCAAACAAGCTCAATAGGAATGGCAGATATTTATGAACATATGTAATAATGAACGAATCGAATCGAACCGTACAACCAGTAAAAAAAGAAATCAGTAAGCATAACAAAAATTATCACTTTTGTGAATCACAGAAAAGTTATAGTCGTTGAAAATTCAAATTATATCTATTGCATTAATTAAATTATGCAGCAATATATTTATTATGGAGGCATATTTAGTGAATTTTCATATTGAAAACTAGTCCCTGCCTAGTGTGAAAAAGTAACAAATATCAGAAAAATGCATCAATTGATTGCCTGTGCAGTCCTTTCCGAATTTGTAGCTGAAGTTTCGAAAAAATGGAAAAAAATACAAACAATGTTACCTGATGTTATTGAATATGGCGTTAATCAGGGGATCATACCGAATCGAAAAGAAAAAGTAGCGCTTTCACTCCCTATTGTCCGTATTCATATCATTCAGTATATTTATTCCAGTTTTATGAATTAATAGCCAAAACCGTCTTAATTTTTATTAAAATAATTCAGTGAATGTTCACTAAACTGACTGAGCTCTAAGCGAATTTGGATAGGAATAGAAATTACATGAATCGATTTTTTTTAACCTGAACTACATCGTAGTTCAATGACTGATCTTGATTATCAACATGTTTGATCAGCAGAATGATTGTCTTCAATTATGTTTGATTTTTTTAGTCCAGTTTATATCCTAGATCACTTTAATAAATATTATTCCAAGGTTTTGTAGTTCATTATTCATGCTTGTCGATTTATATTTCGAGTTATTTTGAACCATCTGTTTAGCTCAGGCAGCTAAACTAAAATTGAATAAATGTAGACAATTTTTCATGGATATGATTTGGTTAAGAATCAGAGTAGGAAACAAAAATAAAATCTTTAAGTATATTAATTTTAAAATTTCTAACTGAAGTTAAATCAATCGTTTGACAAGTTGTCAAAACTTTCTTTAGGTTCGTTTCGCTAAGTGCATAATGAAATGCGCGTAAGTTCCAATAATTACGATGACTTCTCAATTTCCACTTCTCAGTTGTTTGTATTCTTCTCTTTGCAGAAGAGTGGAAACGGATTCAGTTTACCAAGTTTTATTAAAGCAGCTGAAGCCGATATTGATCACAATGACAAACGTCTTGGTGATGGCAGGTTTCATCTCCCAACTAATGACATCAGTTTGATGCATTCAGCGGTACCATTTCTTCCACTTCCTACTGCCATAGTTTGTGCTGTCGTGAACTTCATCATTCCAGGACTAGGTACATTTGCCCCAAGAATTTTGTAACTTCCAGGAATAAAAAACTTCGTGCGACTACTCTTAAATTTTCTGATGTTAGCAAATGTGCAGCAGTTGCATCTAAACGATTGAAATCATGACGTTTGTGTTGAAGTTTTTTCAGACAGATCTAAAATTTTTTACCGTCTTTGATATTAATGTAGCACTGATTGTTAACAAATTTATTTCTGCAAAAATTTAATTGAGATTTGCAACTGTTTTTTTCCTGATCTATGCCTATAATTGATAAGAATATCCTAATTGCAATAAGTCAAAGTAACTATTTCGGAATCAGAAATCGTTTGAAAATTATTTCAAACTCCCATTAATTATAAGATATTGCGTTTCCGTATTTATGAGAAGTGTTTGCAGTTCAAAGTCCATCGAATTTAGAAAATAAAATTAAAGCAGCTGACTTGTGTATGGAAATGAAAATTTAGAAGGTACTGTCATCAATCTGCTCACTTTAATTCCTGTCGGTATCACCAATCATTTAGGAACAATAATGAGTGGATTTCTTGCTTTGTGTCTAGGACAAACACGCGTTAATTATCGTGAAGGAAGGAAATTAATGACTCTTATCATCAGTTTTTTGGTTGGCATCAGTCAGTTTTTCACTATTACGTTCTTCTTAGTCGGATGGTTTTGGTCAATGGCTTGGGGTGGTTTGCTAATTATCTATTCAGGTGCGTATTGCCATTTCTTTTTTTATATGTTCTTGCAAATTTGGCGAAGAATTTTTTTTCCGTACACTTTTTTATCAGTTACATCACGTTTAAAAAAATTAACATATTGACAATGAGTTACACACCATATGCACTGACAAAAGTTTGCATACATCTTACAGTACTTCTTTTTCCTATTGTGTTCAAGATTTAGAACCTCTAACACAATGCTCGCTTCTATGAACTGTATCGACATAAATTTATGAAAGTAAGCACAATGTTCAATTCTTTAAAAGATCGGTCTACCAATAGATGAAACAGACTGATCTTTTACAAAAATTATGATTTCTTTCATTGAGTAATATGATATAGGAAGTTCCAGTGCAGTATCGTGATGCCATTCGTCAACGACGTCAAGAAGCAATTGCAACAGCTGCATTAGAAGCATTAACTCGTGATTCCATCTTGCATCGTCGAGATGTAAAAACGTTGGTTACTGAACTTAAGGAAAAAACAGAAACCAAAAAAGAGACACAAACAAATGAGTAGCTGAATATTAGGTACCGCAAGTAATAAAGCTAAAATTTTACTGCTCTTTTCAACATGACTGGTAACATCTAAAGAGACCAAGATTGAGTAGCTTACCTCAAAGTTTTTTTTGCTGATTTTCACTATGTATTGATCTTTTCGATAAATAATGAACTGATAAAGTAGAAAAATGTAACGTCAGCAATAATTCGGACAGCTACACGTCACAAGAAAAAAATTTGCAAGAGATGTTGAATATTCCGAAAATTTTTTGATGTTACTGATGCAATATCCGCAAGACAAAGATTTGTCCGGTTCCTTTTTCAAAATTTATCATCACCTTCACTCAATTGCTTAATATCTAAGATTTTAGAGAAGTTCATAAGTGACCTTTAAATTATATGTTTTCATCACTTTTTTGCAGAAAGCACATTGAATTTTGAATGATCAATTGAATTTCCCAAATAAACTGAACATAGCAGTGCTAAACAAGTTGCAAACTTCAACAAAACTCACGTACAACTATTTTTACTATAAAATAATCAACATCTCCATATCAGTACAGCAATCACTTGACTACTTTCTGTTCTTTCTTTAGTCTATTCTTATTACATGAATAACATGAAAAACATCATGAGACTGCAACTCTTCTGAAAATTGGAGAAAAAAAAACCTATTACGCATTCTGTAACCGCATCACTCCACGAAAATATGTTTCAATCCTTGCCAAAAAAAATGCATAATCCCGGTATGTAGTAACGATACTGATATGAGTATGATGTTATGCTATTCATTTTTCCAATCACGTAATACCACATTATTTATTAGTTCACTCTTTCAGAATATAGCAGTTATTAAAATCATTAACTTACCTTCGCAGTCTTTGCAATTTTCTTGTAATGTTAAGCAACTAACTAAGGTCCTCATATCATTGTCAAATATATTTTATAGAAGTAGTACAGTACACTACTTTCCATTCACTTTTGATCGTTTCCCAGTCACATAATGATGGAATTTACACCTGGCACGCAGATGAAGCTATCCATACTAGCTTATTTGTCTCGATAGGGCTTAATTCGTACATTACTATATGCATTGAGAAAACAATTATTTTAGTTTTTTTTGGGAGGCGAAAATCTTTTGAGTGAATGAGTTCTTACGAATGGAAAGCAATTTCCTGAAAAATATAAAGTTTCTGAATTCAAATGTCTCCTCTGAACAATTGATAAATCCATCCTTTATGTTATGCTTTACAGCCGCCATCTCTGACTTTGATTTGCATTCCCAGTTCTCCTTTGTAGTATATAAAAAACTCATAGCGAAACCTTGCGAAATATACATGAGAATTATATACCTGATTTATAGCACACACTTTAAACTACTTTTTGTTTTTAATAATGGCTAATTTCCTAGTTTACCTTCATATTTATGACAGTTCAACAAATTTCAGCATTCAAAGGTATTTTTATATATGACGCTAAGTACAAACAGTAATCATAATATCACGGTGGTAGTTAAAATATATTCAAAATCACACAGTAAATCGACCACTGAAGGTTGGTATCCTTTACTTCAATTACATCAAAAATGAGATTTTTGAAAAAACCTGATGCACAACAAAAAGTATATAAGCTTATAGAACTTAAGAGCAGAAATTAATCAATACTAACTGCAATCAAAGCAAGGCAATATACTGCAATACAAGACTGCAGCAATCAGACCATATTTTAACAGTCACTGAAAAATTTCACCAGTAAAAGGGCCACGACTTTTGCTACTCTGGTTTTAAACCATTACAAATAAATAAGGGTAGGCTACTCATGGTGACTTACAAAACGGATTTAACCAGATAAAAATGGTAGAAAAGCATGAGAGCCAAGGGAAAAATTTAAGAAAAGTAAATGATAAGAAGAGAGGTAATACGTGAACTGAATGACCATAGGTCGAATGTCGATTCGAATTTCTCAGGCCAATCAACACAGACATTCGATTCGACGATTCGTTCTTCGGTCATTCTTTCCAGTAAATGATAAATGAGAGAGAGAGGTGGGGGCATTGGAATAAATTTTTATGTCGGGTAGATCTTGTTAAGCTCGAACGGAAATATCGACTTTTCCCGGAATTCTTGCCTTATTAGGGTGCAGAAATAGAAGCAGTATTCCCCTGCAAGAAAATAATTTAGATTCAGTCTCCAGGTGAAGAGTTAGTATACAGTGATTAAATATTTTGGAATTTGTTAATAGAAGTGGTAATTCAAATGACACTATCGTGGTAGTATTTAAATATACAGGGGTCAGTACTGATTCTGAACTACTTTAGATCATCTAAACTAAGCATACTTCATGGCCTTCCGAAACACGTACATAACATGTCACTTCAACTTAGAGCAGGCAATGGGGAGTCTTTCAAGATGCTTTTTAACTTTCCTAATGCAAAGAGCTGACAGACAAAAAAGCTAATAAACTGCAGCTATTAGGACTGGGAGCAATGTGGCCATCGGGTATTTTGCCAATGATTATCAGTAACTCCTGAAAAAGAATAATGAAGTTATAATTACAAACGTTTTAAATAATGGCAATCGGCTATCAGCGCTTGTTAAGCACTTCATTCTTATGAATGACATTGACGAGAATAACTTTGCTGATAATATGTAGGGCAAAACGAAAAACCCTTGCTGAGTTAGAAGTGAATGAGATGAAGCAATATAGAGGAGTGTCAGCATGACACGTAAAAAGATGGTTGCGACTAGCACCGTGGCGATCATCGTCCGCTCTTCTGTCAGTCAGTGATTCCAAATTTTTCTCTATCTTGTTGCTACTGGTGGTAGACAAGTTTTTTCTATCGTGGTTTGGTTTAAGGGAACCAGGAACAAGAAGAGTAGCGAGCGGAGAAGAATGAGAAGGAGCGGAGCAGGAACATGAAAGCATGTTACCGAAATGGTGGCTATGGCTTCTCGTTAACGCTGAGACGACAGAGATGAATAATTGGATGACGTTTAGACTAGCTTACAGCTAAGTACTAAAGATCTCATACCATACGAACTCAAAAACAAGACAAGCAACCAAGCTAAGACTTTTCCGTCTGTAAATAATAGTTAAGATAAAAATGATTTGCAAGGAAATGTAGAGGAGAAAGGAGTAGGGGTGGGAGCAGGATGGGAGGAGACGGGACGAAAATTGCTGCAAAAAGTGATATGACATGAGTAAAATTGGGAAACAGGTTAAGACAAGTTTCCCTCCTTCCAACGCTATTCCACTCCTTGACCTGGCCATCGCAACTTGATTTTGTTCCAACTGATTTAGCCCGACTCACTATCCGAATTATACTCAAATCACACGCAATAAAGATTGAATGATTTTTTTCCATTAATTTATCTCTATACCATAACGATAACTACAATAGTAATTATATTATCTAACTGTGACTAATTATTACTTCCAAGTTGTTTAATGTTGGCGCGATTTTGCGTTTGCAGAACTTGAATGTAATGACATGGAATCTTAAGAGATTAAGTAGCACAGCTAACAAGCAACCAGGAACTTGGCGCGATCTGGAAGTAAGCGTGCTTGGTTATGCAAATGACTGTAAATTTTTGTGAATGTGACAGGTTGGAAAAAGGCTTCCTTTATGATTTTCTTCCTCCTTCTTGCATTGCCTTCCAGCACGAGCAATATCTGCATACCCTTGCTCGCTAATGTAAGAACCTTACGAACCGGATTCCTCCCTTTATTACATTCATCGATAGAGCAGTGAGCATACAATTCTTCGTGTCCTTGATTGCATTGCCCCTCGCATCTCTGTACTACTACCACAACTAGCAGTTTTAGATCGTACCTGCAACCCTAACTGCAAGTGTAACCTTCGATTATCACTTTCAAATTCAATTTCTTCTGCATCATTATCAGGCATGTTTCTGCTTATATATTATATATATATATATAATATAAGCAGAACATTTTCCATATTATATATATATATATAT